AAGGAGGCTTAGTAACACCAAAAGGGGGGGGGGGGGAAGCTTTCTTTTCCCCCCTCCATCTCCTTTCTTGTTTTATTAAAAAAGTGGCTTTTCTTTGCTCCAACTCCTAACAAGTAGTCTGGAAGAAGACAATTACCCAAAGAATTGCCTTTTCACCTGTGGCAAGTGTCTTTCATTATTTTGATAGATTATCTGTATCCTTAACCCAGCCACATGGGAAAGTAAGATAAATATATATATAACCAGTAGGTTAATGGAAGTTGGTAGACTAAAGCAAGGAAGTATGATCGCTGTGTAGCTCAGTATATATTATAATTCTGACAATTCAGAACAGGTCTTGTAAGAAGGAGTAATTGACATTAAACACCTAATCATAAAAAGCTAAGAAAAAGTTATTGAAAATACTGCACAGTTGCATGGAAAACTTCTTCTATTAACTGTGCTACCAAAGCTGGCCAAAATATTATTTCTGCAAACTGTATCAACACTATGAAGATCCTCCTGGCTGGTAGCATTGACAACTTGCATGTTAACTTTTATTAAAGTATCTCCTCTTTCTGATAGCACACTTCTGATGATGCTATTGCTTGTTTTATTAATTTGTCCCAATTTAACCGTCACAGAAGTAAGATAATTACTGCATATAATAACCATACCTGGCTACACATGTTAGCATTCCTTTTTCTCTAGTGTTATAGTGTAATTTATACTCTACAGGCTTATGAGGGGTGGGCACATTTTAAGAAATATGAAGTAAATGAATCTAAATTCAGAACATTATTTAATTAGACATAGTACTGGTTTAATCCAAAGATTATACAGTGAGGGAGAAAGAAAAAGTTTATTTATTATGAAATACGAAAACCAGTCATGCATACTCTTTAAATTAATCCACTACGCAATGAAAAATACTTCAGAAAAAAACAGATTAGAAACACATTTAAATGAGCAACCAGTTATTTCACTTTTTTCATCCACACTTCTACAGTTATGCTGCATGTGTTAGTTGACCATATCTCTGCATCCCATCCTTCTAACATCACATGAGAACTTCTGTTGTTCTGTAATCGCTCAGCTCAAATTGACTATCTTTTCCCTCATTTCCAAGGCATCAGTGACTTCATTTACCAGCTTTTCAGAACTCATTTTGTTCAAGTACTAGGTTTGCTTTTATTCAAGCATCTATCAGGTCAAGTTTATTGGTTAGACTTTTCAGGAACTGAGATACTTTTATAGGAACTCATACAAGTTCCTACCAACTTTCACAGCCAAAACTATTAGCTACAGCTAAAAACTCTGAGAAAGAGGCATACATGTATTTGTCATATATTAGGATAATAACCATGTAGAGCCATAAACAGGTGGTGCTTACCTACCACTTACTGCAAAGGTTGGGTTTACACACTTAGTCTTAACAGACTTAAGAGTCTGCTCTATTTTAAAGTTCACAATCTAAATTTTTGGTTTTCATTTTTGGTTTAGAATTTAACTTTTAGTTTTATTAGGCAAAGATACAAGAAACCTTCCACGTTATAAGGAAAAGGATACATTTATCCAACAATAGAAGTCATAGAGTTTAACAGTGCTAATGTCAGAAAATCTCTAAAATAAAGTAGGGGGAGCACTTATTTTCAACAAACATTCAGAAAATTTGTTGCTGCCTTCACATTGTAGGTCATCTTAAGGAATATTTTGCAAATATATCCAGCCATGGTTGTATGTGGATGAACCTCACCACAACAGTAGAAATCTCAATTTTGCTCTTGTGTTGCTGTCATTTTTTAACATCATGAGCTGTGCACAGAGAAAGCATAGTCAAGGGGAACCTAGCTAACCCAGAAAAGGAACCATTAGGACAGTGACGATGGTAAAGTTGAAAATGGTCTGTTTTACAACAGCATAATCAACATAGTTTCCTTAGACCCATCAAGTGATCCCTAACAATTTCAATTCTTATTTCCTACGCTTGCTTAATAGTTTTCTTAATTTTGTGTGAATCCCATTTACTGAATCTTTCCTTTCCTTAATTACCAAGCTCTACACTCAATCAACTTCTTATTCCTCTCTCCTGATATTGTAGAAATGTGATTAATAAGTTAGAATTAGGAAGACTTCAGATAATATTTTATACTTTCTAGAGACAGAACTTGCACACCATCATGCTTAGCTGAGGCATGAGCAAGAAATACTGCGAAAGTTGAATGGCACCCCAAAACTAATACCAATTCAGCCCAAAACTGACAAAAAAAAAATCTCTAATGGAAAAGTCCACCAGCTTTCATTCCATGCTTTGCTTTGGCATTTCTTGAAACAATTAATTACAAGTAAAAGGAAAATAAAAGGAGTAATAATATAAAGCACACACAAAACTGAAACAGATAAACAACTCTTGCTCCATTCACCCCAAACTACTACTTGTGGTCCATTCTCTGCTCTTTATATCTGTGTTCAGACATAAAAAGTAGCTACCATGTATACTCTGCACCTGCTGCTACAGGTTATATATGCACATAAAGAATACTGAATACAGTCATTACATAGCCCTTTTGTCAAAGCACCTATGAGTCTATTTAGCAGATACTGTACTTTTGCTCCAAGCTTGCCTTTTTCACTCATTCCAGACTACTACTTAAAAGTTATGATGCATAGCCTAAGCTAGCTACCACTTAGTTCATCAACATTTTATAGCTGAGCTTACATTTTCTAATTAAGTCAAAAACCTCCTCTAAAAAAACCTACATAAAATTATGATGTTCATTAAATAGGCTTCTTCAAACTGGCCTTGGGGTTTACCTACTTCATTTTTAAGAGGTAGGTCCCTCTTCTTTCCTTAAGGTATGAGGAGGCACATGAAACCATTTGATATAAACACTACAGCCCCCATTAAAGATTTAAAAATGCATACTACTATAGCATGAAATGCATTTGTCAAGAAGACCAAGCAAACTGGCAAGTCTAGCCTCTAATCACGATTTACCTGTTTTACTTATTTAAGCTTTAGTTACAGAAAAATCCTAGGTAAAAGTAGTCACTGCATTTCTGATTTTGTTAGCAGGTCTTTTTCCACTTTTGCTGGTTTCTAAGAACATATAACAGAGCATACATCTTGTTGGCTTTTAGGAACATAACAGAGAATACAGACACAGTTGCTAGAAAAATCATAGTTAAACTTAGTTGTCACATGTAGTAAGCAATCAGGCATAATATGTAGAAGTTTTGCAATAGACATTTACCACATATTATGTAGTTAACAGCCCTTTGTCATTAATATGTTTTTATATTACAGTTATGTACTTGCATTATGGCTTACCCTTGCCTTTCTTCAGCTTTGTGATTTAAGTCACCTTTTAAATTCTTACCCATGAGTTATATAAAATTGTCAGGGAGGAGAAGCAATGCTGGTCACTACAGAAAACACTCCAACAAGAGGACAAGTGCAGAGGGAAAAAGGAAATCCAAGTTTCCTAGGCAAAATAATACATCCCTCTCAGTTTGTGTGTTTAAGCAGTTAAGAAATAACCAAAACTAAAGTTAAGAAGTATGTCTACATATCAAAAAAGTTAGTTTTACACTGCCCAAATTTAGAAGGACAGAAAAGCAAAGACAAAACACAGATGAAGAGAACGTGCCATCACCTACATTAAATGTGTCTTTGTCTGCAAAATAAGAGTAGTATTTTACTATCAAACTGCATACTACATGGGCAACATGACAATTTCCCACCCCCCAGAGAGGGGGAAGTTTCTTACAACTACTAACGTGTTTAGAACTCTATACTAAAAAGCCAATTTTCCCTACGTCCCCATAGTTTCCAAGCTGGCTTATCCATTGGAAATTTCAAACACAAAATTCTGGAAAATTCAAAAGTTAGTCATGCAGAATCTGCCTACATTAACACTAGATATAGCTCACCTAAATAGGTTCCCCCCCGCCCCGTAGTAAATACACTCACACAATAACACATAAAAACTCAAAATCCTTTGAATGTCACATGACTGGCTTCCAAGTGAAATATCAGTATAAATACATGTAAATAAACGCTCACACACAAATAAACAATTGTCAGAAAGACAGAATGAAAATGTCCTTCAAAATTTGACATTAAAAAGTCAATTTAC